GATTTAGCCATTTGAAAAACTAAGGTGTCAGAGATTCTTGGGTACGGGGAAGGGGGCTGGGAGGGGTTGTAAGATTTTGGTGAGGTCACGATGAATATTATCTTGATCCCCCTTAAGGACCTTAAGGTTTTGTAATGTTCCCATGATCCCCACTCACTGGCAGTTGAGTGGAAGTTACTCTTTATGGTCCCTCCCTTTACACTCTTTTGACGATGACTGATTCCCTTCCCTTTCCCCTAGAAACTTTGTGCCCCCCCCCCCCCCCCTAAATTCCCATCCCCCTCCTCACCAGGCAATAAAATTTCTTCCATTTTTTCTAACTTAATACCAGAGTAAAAAACATATTTCGCCACTTTATGACGGACAGAGAGGAGAGCAATTGACAGTCAACATTACAAACCAAATACGTAGGCTCAACCAATGACAGTGAATAATATGGGACCAAGAAGAGGGGGGAGAACTATATTATAAAACTTGTCGAACCCACGTGGGATACTGGTTTAGCAATCAGGCTCTTAACTTGTTCTCCCAACAAACCGCGCCGGTTTATCGCATTGAAACCGCCGGGGAAATGTGTCCGGTTAAATAATTGTGTAAGGGACGAGTCTTTACTATCACCAGGGAGAGGGGGGTGGAATGAAGACTTTGCATGATCACGTGCCTTTCAGAGAGAACGGAGTAGGGATCAGTACAAGGGGGACCGCGTAGAAAATTGACTGCGAATCAACTGCCAATGAAGGGAGGAACACAACAATATTCAGCTGAGCCTTAAGGGTGTGTCTGTGTGGGAATTTGGAAGCAAGGGAAATCATCTTCCTGGCTCACAGATTATCTGAATAACCGGGCACAGGTTACGGTTGTGAACTTTAATCAGTGGGAAGAGCTAAGGCCCATTTTTGTTTAGTTTGTACAGCTATGACATGCTGGAGGCTGTGACATCAGGGATCTCTACCTGTATGCTGACGATTCTACAGTTTACCGCATCGGATCTGCCGTTAATAAAGCATGTTACCCACTAAGCAGCGCGCCTGACGACCTAAACAAATGGTGCAAGACTATCTCGTTAACATCACACTCTTCAAAATGCGAGGTAATGATCCTTCATTGCTCAATGCCCTTCGATTAACATTGGCAACGTTGACGTTGCATGGGTATGTCACGCATGGCTGCTGGTTATTATTAGAGACCGAAAAGTTACTTTGACGAAACATCTTACGAAGATCTCCGCCCGGAAATAAATTTAAAATGGCAAAAGAATAAAGTTAGAAGCTTGGGCACATGGCTATCAATAGATCCCGAAGCCACTGTTCTTTTAAACTAAACTGAAAAATTAGAAACAATCCGAAATATCCAAGTAACTGGAAACATCGCAGACTAACCCTCTTGGGAAAAATCACGGTTTTAAAGTTTTGTCGTCTTACAACTCGTTTACATGAGAACGTGGGAAAACCATCTAGGAAAATAAACACACTCTTCTCTTCATTTTCTTGGAATGGAAAGGGTGACAAAATTAAACGAAGTATAATGATCGATGACTATGCGGAAGGTGATCTAAAAATGATTGACCTTTCTGCAAGGCTTTAAAAGCCAAGAGGATCACAAAATGCTTAGATACAGCCAGTCAAGGCAAGTGGAAACTTTTTTTTGATCTAGAATTAATTAGAGAGGTTTGATTGCAGCTTGCCTTCCACGGGGAATCTTAATACAAAACGAATTTCAGTTATTATGGTCAAAAATCAATCTTGAGGGATGCATAACCTCCGAAACTCGACTACTAGAGCAAGTATTTAGCACAACTTGCTTATTAGAATTGATCAACACCCTTCTTTTTAAAAGTATGACACAACCATTATATTGGAAAAGTAAACATTTCAAAGATGATGAGAATGCCTTTCTTGCTTGACAAGAATTTCAAAATAAATTTAATATCGTGGTACAGCCTTTAGTATAAAACGGAATAATTTCCGTGGGACTTACCCAACCAAATTATTTTTTTTTTCCTCTTCGTCAAGACATGTTCATGCATGCATATAAATCAAGGACCAATATTCAAACAAACTAATAATCACATTCCTTCGTCGTCAACTTAAGTCAAAACAGACCAGATCAACAGTCTGTGGATAATATGCTCGATCCATTTGCATGTGGGTTGCATGCTGACGTCAGTTTGTTTTGCTTTTTTGTTTTTTACACGAAACGAAAGGTGTTTGAAAGTCTCAATGTTATAAAAGAAATGGTTAGCGTGCAGCGTGCAACCATCAAGTTATTAATACACTTGGGAGGTTTTCTTAGCTCTCAAGAAGCGAAAGTTGCACTCGGCTATCGCCTCGTGAGACTCTTAAGGCCTATTTACACGGCACGACTCTGTCGCATGCGACAAAGTCGTACCGTGTAAATAAGCCCTTAGGCTTCTTCCGTGCTCAGCAACCTTCTGCGTGCATCCATAGCTCGATAGTTGTTTAGATTTAATCAGATGACTCAAGTGTTTGCTGCGCCATAACTCTATTCTCTTGTACCCACCATAAGTATCTCGAGGCCACGATGCTTCAGCTTGTCCAACTTGCAGACCAAATATTTGGTAAAAAACGATGCCAAGGAAAATAAACTTGTACCTCCCATACTGAAACGGAAATTTGATGCTTTTGGTCCGCGAAGCTTCCTTCTGGGTTCCGAACTTGGCCATGTTTCTAGCTCTGTAAGAGTATCGTTTACACGGTGTTCCCTTTATTTGCACATCAAATCGCAAACGGGCTAATGAGAGCTCTTTTGGAGGCCTGCCATGATTTCTAAAATAAGAATGCTAGTGATACGTTAAAAAGGAAACAAGTGTGCGGAAGTGAATGTACAGCTCTAGGCGGAGTTCTTTTCAATACCCTTATTTTAATTCTTTGTTGAATTCTAGAAAACTAAGAAAACTAAACAGATCGTGAAAAAGAGAGGAAGACGTTCATAAGAAAAAACAAGATTTTTTAAAGGAGAAAGTTGCAGTCCCTGAGTAGGTCATTCAAATGAGATTATCATTACTTGCTTGCAGCTGGCCAACCCTTGGTTATTTCAGGTAATTACTATTGTTTGTTCTACTTCCGTCTTGAGAAACACTTAAGAGTAAATGTCAATAAAAATCACAGATTATCGCGATTTGGTTCATTTTTTGCCTGTGGGTAGCCTTATCTAATAAACAAACGGAAATGGGGTTAGATTTTTGAAAGATGCACTTTAACGGGAATAATTTGTTTTAACATTTCCGGGGGTAAATAGCTCAAATTTCACCAAGCGCGATCCTGAAATTATGCACTTTTCGGGCACTTGTCATGCTAACAAAAATGTAACGGAAGGACTTTTCTAGTTATAGATTTATTGAGTTGGACTTGCATTATCGAGACAAAGTGATAGTTTTTGTCTCATGTTATTCTTGGAGGAGCTACGTCCCTATTAAGAAACGACATCTTCGGCCTTTTGAAATTAAGGCAAAGGTGGCCTAGAATAGCTTGGCAAAAATACATGTGGTAGTGTCTCAAAGTTTACAATAACACTACCAAGAAGCCTTGAAAGATAGTTCTTTACGATTTGGGTTTTATTTCTTTGGGACCAAAGATAAGGAGGTTTCACAAGCAGTGGTGAGCGCGAGTGACTGAAATCCGATATGTAGGACTCTGCTGTCACGCAACGCCTTCATGTAAATAATACACGCACCGCTTTTATAATTAGCGGATCAGTTATTCGTAAAACGTTCAGTGCTCAGTTACTTGGAAGAGCATGTAAACTCGTGGACTAATTGTGAGAGTCGTGCGATGAATGGCTTTTTCCTCTTCTGAGGTGAAATGTCAGAAATATC